GATAGTTACGGATATAAGAGCATTTCATGGCTTTACGAATTATAATAAACCGTTTATTCGTAACTTTCGAAAGGAAATAGAACCGTTAATACAACTTACGAAAGAAGCCGAAAAAGGAAGCCAGAAGGTTTAATTAATAACCGAAGCCATTTAGGTATTCGAAAAGATAAAACGAATGGTTATTTTAGACTTAGTCTACCGATTATCAAATCTAAATAAAAGGAAAAGAATAAAGTTTGATACTTTAGATATAACATTAAGAGGAACCTTAGAATAATTAAAAGATAACGGAAATTAATACCTAGTTATTTATTATTTAATAATACTTAAAGGAATAGAACTACGATACCCTTTATATGATAAGGAATTAATAATAATAATTAAAGAATTTAAAGAATAGAAAGTATACTTATTAGAATTATTAAAAGAAATAGAGGTATATTTAAATTACGATAACCTTAGGATATTAATAATAATAAAGGTATTAAGCCTGAAATAATAAAAATAGAAAGAATATCTCGACGGATTTAACTTTCGTATTATTTATATTAAAGGAAAAGAGAATATTTAAGTAGATATCCTAAACTGAAGAAACGATTATTATGTAAAAGTACTTAAGAAGGAAGGATAATTTCTATAGTAATAAGATGATAGAAGTATTACCTTTAGTATAATAACGATATTGGTTCTAAGTAATAAATAGGAAGAGAAAATACGAACAGAATCTAAAAAAGAAGTCTAAGTAAATACGGAAGTGCTTTAAACGGATTAATCGTTAAGTTATAATAGAAAGCGATATATTCTTAAATCTCTCTAGTAATAATTCGTATAAAAATACTATAAATACCTCTTATGTAAATACTGAGAAATATTTAAACCCTATTAACGAATGAAAAAGGAATACGGATTTTTAGGAATGAAATAAAAAATATAAGAAGCTTTAAAGAAGTATAATATATATTAAAAAGCTAAAGTATCGAGGTATAAACCTTATAGTTTATTATAACTAACCTCGATATTAGAAGAAGATTAGGATTTAATCGTATATGATTTTATCATTAAACTTTTACGATTTAAAGACCTAATTAATGGAATAGTTTATGATAATATTTAAATAATCGTTAAACGACTTACAAAGTATGGATTTTTTTTATTTAATAAGTTAATAATAATAAAATCAATAATATATTCATTCTTACGATATTACATTAATAAATATAGGCTCCTACAATGAATTATAATAAATAGGAATAAATTAATAACCTTACGATTCTAAAAAGTACTTTTAAAATTACTTAGAATAAAATAAAAACTATCTATAATATATTATCTAGAATCCGATGGATAAACAAGACGACTTAATTAAACCTTTAAATAATACCTACGAAGTTACGTTAATTACGAATAGGATAATTAACTAGAGCTTTTACTTATGGTTAAATTAATATATAATACTTTAAAAAACAGGATATAAATATAAGCCCTTAAGAAGTAGTTTACGATAAAAAGTTAAAAGAAGAACCTAAATTACCGATACTATATGGAAATGAATTAATAATAATAAAAGCCTGACAAGTTATTATTAAAACTAACGAAATAAGAGTCCTATAAAAATAACTCTATAATGAATTAGTATATATCTAAGAAAGAATGAAAAAATACATCAACTCTAAAAGAATTAAGGTCCTTAATTAATTCCAAAGGAGGGAAATAAGGTTTATTTACTACAAAGAAGATAATACGTAATAAAGGAGACCCTTTAAATAAAAGTAAAACGATTAAGTGATAAATTCGACTTTAAGAAATTAGGACTATTTATAATTAAAAAAAAGCTTTCGAAGTTAAATTACGAATTTAAACTATCTAGAAATTTAAGGATCTACCCCGTATTCTATATTAATATTTTATAATCTGTTAATAGAAATGTTAAACTATATATTAAGGAGGAAATTAAGGAAGAGGAATTTATGGTTAAAAAGATCTTAGATTTACGAGAGGTAAAAGGTTAATTTTAATACCTAATTAAGTAGAAAGAATACCTACTAAAGGAAAATACTTAGGAATTACTTAAGTACTTAACGAATATTTAAGAGGAGTTTAAGGATTTTCGTTGATAAAACCTAGATCGGTTAGGAAAACCGATCAATTAAAATCCGACGTTATAAGGTATAAGACGGAACCTAATTCGGAGGGAACGGATTCTCGGAGGACCTCGATTTCCTCCTATTCTATTTCCCGTTTAACATTCCTTTTAACCTAAAGATCTTATTCGATAAAAGACTGCAAATTATTAATAACGCAACGACGCTACTTACGAAGACGAGTAGTTTTATTACGAAAAATGAACGATTAACGTTTAATACGTTTAAGTTCTTCTTTAATAGTATTAAACTTAGCCTCTATATGGTTAATCTCGTTAATAGCCTAGTTAACCGTTCTCGACGAAGCCTCCTAACGATCGTAAAACCTATAAATAAACGAATACTTAAGATAACTATCTAGGTCTTTATCGATTCGGTAAGATAAAGATAAACGAATATAACGAATATAGGGTATTTAAGAATTAATAATTAATACTAGGGCTGATATAAGTCGATTACGACGGCGATCGCAAAGATTAGACTAATAACGGGAAAAACGAGTAGGAGGTATATTATTAAGAAAGGAAAGTTCAAATAAAGAAGAAAGAAAAATTTACCTTTGGAATTTTAAGATAGAATTCTAAGAAAGGAAGGATAGTATGAGGAACTACGGTTATAAGGGTATTAACTTATATAGGTCATAAGGTATAAAGGGAAAGTAGAAGAAGGCTATTCTACTTTCTATTAAGCGTAAGGACTTAACGCTAAAATAGTACGGCTTAAGGCCGTACTAGAATTTAATTACGCTTGACGGCCTAAGGTTGTAGGTACGGCCCTTAGCCGTACTACAGGAGTTAGAAGTACTACGTTCGTTAAATAAAGAAGTCTATATAAATAGACTAAGAGATCTATTTCTTTCTTAATCTTTACTTAACTCTTTAATTATTAATCTTAAGTATATAGTTTACTCTTAATACGTACCTTTAACTGTAAGATTAAAAAGTATGTAAAGTATAAGTTACATAACCTATAACCGATTCCTTGATACATTAAGATGAGTGCCTAAGGAATAAAACGTAAAAGTTACTTATTCGGCTATAGCGGTACGACGAAGTAACTTAAGCGCCTATAATTAAGATAGATATACTAATCGGAGAACGACGAATCTAATAGTAAAAACGAATCTTTAATTAAAGTAAAAATAGTAAAGATAATAATTTAATTAGATAGTAAACTCGATAATAAGCATAGCATAGCCCGTACTTACGGGAGCTATGATTATTCTATATAGGTATAAGGCCTATTGTAGCGTATTACGTAATGCATTAAGAGGGCATGTCTTACCGCACCACTACAATAGCTAACACTAGCTAACGAGAAAACCTCAAAAAGAAAAGCTTAAGGATATAAGTCTCAGTGTTAAACGTAATTAATAAAGCTAAGAAATTCGCCGTTAATTAATCTCTATATATTTACGTAATGCTTAAAAACATTACTAACGTTTATTATGATATTTATACGAAATTAGCTGTTAGAGATTACTAAATCTCCTCGTTAATAACTTAACTAGAGTTAAAAAGCTAACCGAAAAGGAAAGCTATTTCTAACTTAAATAAGCGCTTTTAATCCCCTTATAGGATACTTAATATTATGTCAAAAGCTGTAATTAAGTAATAATAGTAATAAGTAGTAATAACGGTAGTTTAGGAGGAGGCTATAAGTCTACTAAGTAAGGATAAGAAGGATATTTAATTACTATAACGCACCCGATTACCGCGCGTAATTAAGGCTCTAGAACGCTTCAGAAATTAATTAAGTAACGCGCTTAAATCTAGTCTGCTTTTTATAATTATCCTAATTTATTTAATTGAGCTATGAAATTTATAAAAGAACCCGTTTTAATGTTTTTTTAATATATTAAGAGGTAGCCTGTAGGAGGGTAGCCTACCGTTATTTAATAAATAGTACCTATTAACGCGTTTAATCTCATTTCTCACCTATTTTGATCTTATTTATATTAAGGAGGAGTAGAGCGTATACGCTACTAGAGTCCCGGATAGGTTCACTCGAAAGTACACTCTATCGAAGACTATAATACGTACGATCGTCTAAGATAGATAAAACTAATATCGCTATACTAATCGAGAGGCGAGGAATCTAATGTAGTTATTATATCCTAGCTATGCCTCTTGGTCGTAGAGATATAGTAATCGTTAACCCGAAGGCATAAGAGGTAAGGAAAGAAAAGGAGCAAAACGCAAAAGTTATTTATTCGGCTATAGCGGTACGACGAAGTAACTTAAGCGTTCATAACTAAAATAAATATATTAATTAGAAAACGACGAATCTAATAATAAGAACGAATCTTTAATTAAAGTAAAAATAATAAAGATAATAATTTAATTAAATAGTAAACTCGATAATAAGCATAGCATAGCCCGTACTTACGGGAGCTATGGTTACTTTATATAGGCATAAGGCCTATCGTAGCATATCACGTAATGCATTAAGAAGGCATGTCTTACCGCACTACTACAATATATAGATTAATCGATGTCAGTTTCTCTCCGTTTAATCGAGGTTGGTTTCTCCCCGTTTAACTAAGAGTCGATTGCTAATTAATTCTTTTTTATAGTTTAATCAAGCGTCGATTCCTGCTTACCTCTTTTTCCCTGGCCTTCGGAGAGATTCTAGGTTTTCGGTACGAAAACATAGAGAGGCGCGGAGTGCTACAACGTATTTTAATGTAATGCATAGCCTTTGGGAACGTATATTAATAACGTTATACGTGGTGGAAAGCAGCGATTTTTGCTTTTTTTGGTAAGGGCTGGGGGGCCCGTGGTCATGTGACAGATGGTATGGTAGTAGCTATGACTTCAAGAACACCACGTCTCTATCCCCCCCCAGACTCTGCCTCTTTTATACGTCAAAGGTTTTCAGTAGTGCCGGTAACGCTTCTGGGTTCTCCTCTAAATATCCCAGGTCTACTAGTGTGTCTAACGACATCCTAGCATACTCAGTCGCTGTCTTTACGTCCTTCGCTTTCCAATATAGTCGCGCCATGATCTCGTACTGACCGCTGTAGAGTGGCACGAGCCCCTCGATCCGCATCAGGTCAAGTACCTCCTGAGTGAGCTTAACCGCTTTCGTTCCGTCCCAGACTTCGATTGCCTGGATAACTTCTTCTCCCAGTGCTTTGATCTTGTTTCTGCGATAGTCGGAGGCAGCGATCTCGGTCTTGGATGCCGTGCAGAGGCTGCAGGTACAGTTGAACCCCCACTTCCGCAGCGCTGCCTGCCTCTCGTTTCGGGCTGTTCCCAAGGGGATATCTGGAGAGGACGTGTATATCCGATCTCGTTAGTAGCCACTCCCCCCGATGGTAACGTCGGCGGAGCCGCGCCGTCCGGCCATACTTACAGGTGATGTTTATTTCCTCCCCGGCCTCGATATCTCTTAGGGCAACGAGACTGACAGCTAGGCTTATTGGCGTGAATCTTACGAATGCACTAGCGGCGACGTTAGCTTCCTTCAGCCATTCATAGATATTTTTTATCGATCTTCCCTACTTGGGCCGGCACGCATGATTGACTCTCTGCCCGTGAGGTCAGCCTCCCGCAGGTACAGGTTGTGGGTGGGCCTGTCTCACGGCAATATTGGGGTAGAGTGCCATATGCGGCTCCCCGGCAAAGCTGTATGAGAAGGAGTTTGTCCGCAATACGTCTTCTATGATGTCTGCCGAATAGGCACTGCTGCGGGCAAGCTGGAGCACACGGTCTGGGTCTGGTAACTGATCCACTGCCTTGTGGAGGAGTGTGTATCCCCGCGTTCGCCTGACGCGGGTTGGGAAGTCTAGGTCCACCAGCAGCGAAGCCCAATCAGCCATGATAACCTCGGCGCGGCCAATATTTCGTGTTGCGACCACCCCCTTTCCCTTCCCAGGTATGTCAACGATTCGGGAGGCTGCCTCGCAACTGGCGTTACTAAGTGGGCTATGGTCTACGCCGTTTAGCATGTCGATACAGTTTGCGGCCGTTTCTGGCGTTGTGATGATGCTGATGCCTTGGGTTCCAAACCTTGGGTTGGTGAGAACACAGTACTTAGTCGCTGGTGATTCGTCCGTTTGAAGACACATAGGAGGGTATGTCCAGGGGGACCAGTCGATCGGCCCATAGGTGGTTCTATCGTCAATGGGTCGTGGGCATCCCAATAGCGCCTGACGCTGCAATCCTGGCGGCATGTCTAGGGGGCATTGCCTGACGGAAGCGGCATCGCGGCCATATAATGCAGCACATAATCTCACATTAAACAGAGAGAGGAACAAGGCGCGTATAAACACGCTATATAAAGATGTCCGGCTATACATCCTTAGCCAGCGTCACCCGAATGAAGAGGGTTGGGAACAACACTCGAAGATAACACAGAGGAGCGTTGCTGGATTCGGTGTATATATACCCACCTATAGACCAGACTATGCAGCCCATGTGCTTGTTGATATGCCTACTTCCCATGCTTAGCTTTCGGTTACGGCGGCCGAAACGAGTATCTAAGTGGAGAGGCAAGCATGATATTCTAGGTGGCTGATAAAAGGGGTAGCTAACAGCCGAGAGGAATGAAAGGGGCCAAGTAGGGCCAAGCTTGTATAAACGCCCGCTTATGCCGAAGTAGAGATGGGCCAAGCAGGGAAGACCACACAGTCGATTCCATTTCCCCAAGCCAGCCCAGTTGAAACGACACGCTCCGAAATTCCCGCGTCTGCTAAGCTAGCTACCCTGCTGAATATTTCTGGTTTCCTAGTCCTGAGGGTCTCTACCTAGGTATATAACCGCCGGGCTTGTATTGTCGTCCCCGAATGATTGGCCTCTGTCGGCCGCCGTCCGTCTTGGCCTTGCCGATCCTCTACCCGGGTAAATGGGGTGGCCGTGATGATGTATCCGATGTATCCGATATCCGTCCCGAGGACACCTGTGCCTCTACTTACGCCTCCTGAACCCGAGTAGTTCTTATAGGCCACGTGGTAACTCACATTGATGGGAGAGACGCTAGAAGGGATAGATTTTAATCCTATCCGGAGGATAGTTATAATACGCATAACCCCTTATTATGCTGATTAATTACGGGGTTAAATACCCCTGTAAATACCCCTGTAAAAGGGTGTTATTTAGGGGAAACTCTATTTTTACTAGCTAAAAAACGCGTTATAGGTTCCTAAAAATACGTATACCTAATAAAAACGGCGAGATAAATGAAGTTTTTTTCATTTAGCATATCCTTATTATCCCCTAAAATCCCTACGTATATTTATTAATGCGTTTATTTATAAGTTTCTACTTCTATTTATATAATTCCTATTCTTTTCCGTATCTTATAATTTATCCCTATAATTTATTCTTAGTTTAATTAAGATAAAGTCGCTTTAAGTTAAAGAATGTCGTATATACGGAAGAATTTAAACCATTAAGTAATTTATTAATCTACGAAATTACGCTATATTTATAAAAAATTATCTATCTTGCCGCGAAAACATACGCCGTCTTACTTAGGTTAGTATTTTTTATTAGTAGTTTATACTTTACCGCTAATTGTATATAGGATTCCCGATCTTATCCTACGCTTAAAACGCTTTAACCGGTTCCGCGATTAAATATTACTTATTATCGATTATATTTTATTACCGCGTAACTTCGGGTTATATAATTTAAACGCTAAAGAAGTAGCTTTACGCGTAGGTAACGTATTACGATAGTAAATTCGAAGACGGTATAAGGTAACCCGACGTAATAGCGGTAACCCTTTTCTTATTCCTTTACTTTCTTCGTTAATAGTATAATTATAACTAGCGGATTTAGCGGTAGCGCTAGAACTAGCGCCCCGAGGGCGACTTTTTCGAATACTTACGCGAGAGTTAGCTCGTCGAGGCCGACCTTTACGTACGCCTACGTTAAAATAAGCGCGAGAGCTAGTTCGTCGAGGCCGACCTTTACGCGCGTTTATACTAGAACTAACGCGAGAGTAACCGCGCTTAGGCCGAGCTTTTAATTAGACCTTCTCCTTAAATACCGCTCGCTCTTAGGAACTTAATAGCGTTTTAAATCGTTAAAGTTCGTTTATAATTAAGCCGCTACGGTAAAAGAAAGACCTTAACGTTAACGCGGTTAGCGATACCGATTATACGATTTTAATACGGTTTTAATTAGCGCTAGAATAGGAACGACGTAAATACTATAATCGTTACGAGGGATATCAATTTAATATAGATTTAAATACCGCGGATATCTATAAGCGTTATCGTAATAAAGACTAGAAGAGGTACGTAAATAAGCCCTTCTTTTTTAACGTAGGTAATTATTTTAACTTTAATATCCTTCCTTCTTTTAATTTATTACTAGAGCTAATAATAATCGAAGAACTACTTATTACGTAGGTTTACGTAATAATAAATATACTTATAATCCGCGGCTAATAATATAAATATTACGGCTACGTCGTATACTTTATACGTAACGTTAGTAAAGTATACGACCATCTTCCCCTTTTCCCTTAATATCTTAATAACGTTTTATTACGCTTACGCGAGCTAGCGTAAAATCCTAAGTAAATAACCTAGTTTCGAACTAAGTTTAAAGTACGCCGGCGCGTTATCGAAGTATGGCTTAAGTATTTAAGATATAATTACCCGGGTTATAAGGACTTTAAATAAAATCGCGTCGCGTTAAAAGAACTACTTAACGACGGTATTATTTTTAAGTAGCTTAATATTTAAAACTTCGTCGATAACGGTTAAGCGCTTTAAACTAACCTAGTTACGAAAGGCGACCTAAAAGGATTAGAGGCTTAATACGATAAATCTATTATATTAAACGTTACGTTAAAATAAACTAAGATAAAGCGTTTAAAGTTAGAATTAAAGGGGGCGCTTATTTTTAAAGGTTATCCCGTTAAGCTTATAGGTACCTACTATCTATCTATGCCTTTTATTCGCTAGATTCTTATTAATGAGTTCATACGTTTAATTACGTTATTTTTATTAGCGTTTCCTACCTTATTTCCGCGTAAAGAAGCTAAATTTATATATCTAAGGTAACGTAAGATCGATTTCGACGATTAGGTATAATACGTTATACGTTAGCGCGATAATCGATTCGCGTAATACCTTACTTTCCGCTTTATCGCACTTAATATACTTATACGTTAATAAGTAATAATAATAAGTAAATATTTCGTAAGAAGAAAAGGCGCCTAGTAATAATAAATTACGCGGTAAAATCTCGAGTAAGCGTTAGAAAACCTTAAAAGTACCGAGGCTAATGCGTTATTAAGTAATATTACGCGCGTTATAGTTTACTTAAAGGATACGCGGCCTTTTTAATTTAAACGAAAACGCGAATACGTTACTTTTACTAAGTACCTCGGGGTTCCTAGCGCTTTTTTTACCTTAAGCCCTACTAATCTTTACTAGCAGAGCCTTTTTTAATATATATTACGCTTTTAGAAATGGCTCTCCTCCCTTGAAATCTAACGCATGCGCTTATCCCGCGAATTATTAAAAACTAATCCCTATATTACCGCGTAGCATTTTTACGCTCGGAATTAGCTCTTTCGTAATATCGTTTTAATTAAGAAGTTCGGCTTACGTAATTATTAATATCGATACGAATTTTAAGGGCGTAGAAGTATATATTACTACGGGTTATTTTAGTTCGAAGGTAATCCGTTACTTAATATAACCTCTTTCGAATAACGCTAAAACTACGCTCGCATTTAGAGCTACTACGCCTCTACGGTTAACCTAGAGCCGCGCCGGCGCTTAGATTAAAATGAAGGTAATCCGTTCGTACTACGGCCTTCAAACGCGCGGCCGTCGTTTCGTTAGCTCTTTTAAATTATTAATCGTTATTAACGTTATAAATACTCCCCCGTATATTACCTCCGTATTAATAAGCGTAAAGCGGGAAAAGCGGGATAGGGTAATAGCGTTTTACTACCTCTAGAATACCGATTTCTTTTCCCGTAGCCGTACCGCGCCTACGCCGAGATTATTATACGGCCGTATAAAACCTAGTAATCATTTAAAGCGTAGCGTAACGACGAATAATTTAATTAATATAATCGAATAATTACTTTTACTTAGCTAATTAATATCGATATTTCGCCTTATATTAACGTAAAAGTTATTATAAATTACGTAACGAAGTATTACTCTAAAGCGGAAATTAAAACCGATAATTATAACGTCCTTATTAAGTAGATCCTCTTAAAGGTCTCTAGCGTAAATCCTTTTCTCTCTTTTATATTGAAGTTAATAAATAAACTAATTAAGGAGCGAGATTACTTTACGTAAGAGGTTTATTATATATTATATAGGCTACCCTTATAAGCTAATTCGTATATTATACGTAACGTAAATTACCGGCCCTTAACGGAATAAGACTATAGCCTCGAGCTCGGCTCTAGCGACGTTTCTAGCGGGCGTAATACTTATAAGAAGTATTTCTAGCGCGATTTAAAGGTATTAAAGGTTATTAAATTAAGCTTCTTTCGCTTCGTATCGATCTAGAATTTTAATAAGCCATACGCTTACGATTAGCGCCCTTTCTAACATAACGTAGAAAAACGTATGCTTAATTATTACCCTATCTATCGCGTAAATAAAGGCCCTAGCGAGCTAAAGTCGTTTTACTACGTTAAGCTTATATTAAACCATCCGTATATTAACGAAAACGAGCTACTTTTAATTAACGGTACCTAATTTCTAACGTATATACTAACGTATACTGTAGTGGTACGGTGGATCTAGGCCACGTAGCCTTTTCGATATATATTTATATGGGTCGCGTACTTATATTTTCATCAGTTAGACTTAGACCTATAGACATTACAGCCTATAGCCATTTATTCGTTTCTTGCCATGCCTTTCTAGCTATCCTCGTTACCCTTTTCTAGTCCCCTTTCCCAGCTGCCGTTTTTAGCTGGCCGATTAACCGATTATAGCTATTTATAGCTATGATCTAGGTCTAATCGGCACTAGGCTAGTTATTGGTATTTAGGTAGCCGTTTCGTGCCTCCGTTAGCGTGCCTACTGTAGTGGTACGGTAAGACATGCCCTCTTAATATATCACGTAATACGCTACGATAGGCCTTATGCCTATATAGAGTAACCATAGCTCCCGTAAGTGCGGGAGATGCTATACTTATTATTTAGTTTATTACCTAGCTAGATTACTATCTTTATTATTTTTACCTTAATTAAAGATTCGTTTTTATTATTAGATTCGTCGTTCTCCGATTAATATATCTATTTTAGTTATAAGCGCTTAAGTTACTTCGTCGTATCGCTATAACCGAATAAGTAACTTTTGCGTTTTA